GTGGGCGTGACTGACCCTGATTCTGAAGGCTTCCTGCCAGCGTGTCTGAATTTCCCAGAGGAAATAGCACTTCAGTGGCCTTGGGATCCCCACACCTGGGCCGGGGTCTCTGTGGTGCTGCAGGAACCATGGGGACCAAGCAGGTGGCTTTGGGCCCAGTTCTGTAGAGGAGGGTGCACGGGGGCCACAGCCAAGGCCACACGGGTCTCCACAGTGTTGAGGGGGTGGCCGCGCTTGGCCAAGAGCCAAGGCCAAATGGCAGAGCTCTGTGTGTGTGTGTGTGTGTGGCCCATGGAAGGCCATGTGCTGTGGGGCTCTTGGGGCTGGAGTGGGGTCACAGACCCAGGACATGAGCTTAGGTGGCCACTGTGTGGCAGGCACTTCTGAGGGACTGGGCCTGGGGGGGGGGTGCGCATGGGGGCGTTCTGCACACACCATCAGGACGGTGGACATCCGCGATGCCCGGCCAGCGGCTGCCTCTCTTGCTTTGTTTTGTGACGCCTGGTGGTTCCCCCTTCTGCGTGTGGCTGTTGGCTGATGTCACCGTGTTCAGAAGGCTTGTGGTTTGGGGAGACGGGCCTTCTTAGTTCTGGTCTTACGTGTTGGGAGTGGCAGCTCTGGTCGCCGTCACGGGACGTGGGACGCTGCCCAGCACCTGCCATGCTGCCCACCCTCCGCCCACACAGCCCAGGCCCTGTAGGGGGAGGGGAGCCCTCCTGGTCACCCCCATCTTCTCGACAAGCCCCAGCTGTGGACCCAGTCACTAGGGCGCCAGCGACTCGGGCAGACAGAGTGGCCTCGGCTGACCTTAACCATGGGGCCCGTGCTGGTGACCTCGGGGCCCCATGGGGGACACTCCTGTTGGGGGACAAGCTCCTGGGAGGTCAGCCCGGACCAGTGAGGGGCAGACAGGGGGGAAGGGGGGAGGGGCTGTCCGGGCACTTGCGTGGTGGAGGTGGAGGAGGGCCCTGCCCAGAGACCCTGGAGCCTGGGGTGGGGGTGAGGGGAGGCGGGGCAGCCGCTCTGGGCATTGGGTGTCTTCCTGCCTAGGAAGCCCCGGGAAGAACGAACTTTTCTGTGCGGCTGTGGCCGCCCAGCCAGTGTAGTGATCTCGCCTTTCCCATTATTCCCCACATTTTCCAGGGGGGCGGGTGGGAGGTATAGCAGGGGCTGGGGTGCTCTGGGGGGTCCCCCAGAACATCCCTGCATGACAAGGGACGGGTTCTGGGCCTGTTGGGCTGGGAGGAAGGAAGTGACCCGGCAGGGGTCCTGCGCATTCTGAGGGGGGGTTTCCTGGCTGCTGGGTACGAGGAGGGTGCAGGGGGCTCCCCCTTCTTCCCCAGATTTCTCAAAACACCTGCTCTTCCCATGGAGCCCGGCCAAGCCGGAGCGGCGGTGGGCGAGGGCACTAGGACAGACCCGTGACCACCCTGTTTGTCTTGTCGGGAGGGGGCTTCCTTGAAGGCTCCGTGTGGTGCACGAGACAGAAAGGGGCGAAAGGGGCGGGCTGGCCGCCGCCTCTGGAGCCTGTGGTGCGTTTTTCTAACGAGGATCAGGGCTGATGGATGTTTAACGACATCTCCAAAGGTCGTGCTGCTGACGGAAAAGGGCTTGGGCAGGTTTAATTATCTCCCGGGGTGGTGTGGTTCTCGCAGCGAAGCGTGCTTGCCTTTGATGTGAGCCCCCAAAGCATTCAACGGAAAGGGGCGGCCCGTGCGCCGATTCCCGGGTGGTGCTGACCCCTCGGCCCCCAGCAGCTCCCGCTGTGACCGGCCGTGACCTCCCCGGAGCCCCCATGCCCCTCCTCACCGTGTCTGCTGGGCCACTCAGCAACCTGATCATGGAGGTGTGGCTGCCCAAACCCCTGTCCGGGGTGGGCTGTTGGTCCCCTGTGCGGACGCCTGCAGAGGAGCTCAGCCTGGGTGGTCACAGCTGCTTCCCGGGCAGGGACAGATGAAAAGGCAGAAAGAAAACGGTTCTGCGGGGGAACGGGTTTGTGCAACAGGCCGCGATCTGGCCAGTGTTACTCCCTAAGGGACTGTTCATCTTGTTTGGGATCTGCGTGCTCAACGGTGCAGGACCTGGGACCCCACCTCGTCTGCCCAGAGCGTGCAGCGGCTGTGGTGGGGGGGGGGGGTGGGCAGAGCCCCATCCAGCTCCCGCATCCATGGAGAGTGGCTGTCACCCTCGTCCAGCTTCCCTGAGACACCCCCCAGGCAGAGCTCACTGGGATCAGCACGCTTTCCCGTGACACAGTGACTTTGAGTCATGTTCTTCTGAGAGACATTTTCTTGGGGACCCTGAGTCGGGGCCTCTCCCTGGCCAGGGAAGGGACTGCCACCCCAGGTCAGAAACCCCTGCCCCTTGAGTGTATGTTGCTCAGGCCTCCTCCCTGACGGGCCAGGGAACTGTGGAGCCCTCTGGAGCAGCCTTCCCTACAGGGAGTGTGGTCGGGGCCGGGGTTGGGTGTTCAGGCCTGGACTTGGGGGGAGACTGTTTCCAGCAGAGGGCCTGGCATCTCGGGGCACCTCGCTCCTGGGGCTCAGCCTGACGTCCGTCCAGCTGCACTGTGGCGGAGTCTACGACCAGGGAGGCCTAGGGCCCCGTGGGGTCCCCTTCTGAGGCCTTTTAGAGGCAGGGCTCCCCCCTGAGGACACCTCGATTCCAAGTGTCTGTCCTCCAGGACAGAGAGGGGGTAACTGTAGTTTGGAGTCACCCGGTCTGGGGTGCTTTGTTCTGGGCACCCTGGGGTGTGGGTTTGCGTCCTGGCCTCGAGGCTCAGGTGAGTGACCTTGGACAGGGTCGGGAGCCTGAGCCCCTGTCTCCAAGGCAGGGGTGGTAATGGCCCCTCAGCCCTAAGCACCAGGGCCGTGGTCGTCTCCACCCTCACACCCCCCATCCCCTCTCTGCACCCAGCGCCCCTCCTGCCCCCCGGGGGTTTGCTGGCCACCCCCAGAGCCCTGTGTCAGGGCCAACGCGGCTCTGGTTTGCTGCAGCCACTGAGAGAGCTTCTCTCCCGGTCACCGGAATCCGGCCATTTTGGACAGAGGAGGAAGGGCCATCCCCTGCCCCCCGCCCAGCCGGGCCACTCACGGGTGGGATTGTTGCTGTCAGCCCTTCTGCCCCAGGGTCTTTCCTGGGCCCCTCGGGAGCCTGACGCCGGGTTGGGACCTGGACGGTCAGTGCGCCTAAGCCTCGGCGATGTCGCAGGGAGGGGCCACCAACCACGGACACCTGTCGCAAGGGCAGCAGCCTTGTGTTGGAAGGTCTGGGAGGTCAGTGTCTTGTCCCCTCCACCCAGCCCCCGACCCGGGGCCAGCCGCGTCCTCCGGGGGGGGGGGGTGAGGGGGGTTTGCTTTGGGCTTAAGCTCCTCCCAGCCACCTGCTTGCACCACCTCTGTGCCCCTCGAGGGCACGGGCGGGTCCTGGGGCCTCCAGGCCAGCCCCCCCAGGGCCGGTGTGGTGTGGACGGGGCTGACCTGGGCACACGTGTCCACACGCGCGTGCGCACACACACACACAGTCATTTGGCTGAGTCCAGATTCAGTGCTGGTGTTGGACGTCGCAGCCCATCCGTGCAGATACCCGTGAGTAAATTTCATTTTTGTTCAGCTCTATTCTCTGCAGAGTTGAATTTGCCTCATTCTTTGGCTGCTTAGTTTTTATGTTCTTCTCACTTATTTGTCCCCAGCTAAGAGAGATCAAACCCGTCAGGGCCTTCAGACGGCGACGATCGCTGTGTGATGTGTGAACAGGCTTTGCCACCACACACGGGCCTAACGTGTCGCGGCTTTGGTGTTTCTTATGATTGTGTGTGCTCCTGGGCCGTGGCGCCGGCCGGGGCTGGGGCGTCCGTGCGGCCCCTCCCCTGCCACGATACGTCGGGTGCCCTGAGCTGTGTGTCTGTCTCTGTTTCTCTCTCTTTCTCCCCCCGCCTTTCTTTCTCTGTCTCTGTCTCTCTCTCTCTCTCTCCCCCTCCCCCCCCATCTCTCTCACACACACGCAGGGCCTCTCCGCGTGGCGGCCGAGCCTTCTCCCAGCGTGGCGGTCTCAGGGCAATCTGGGCCTTGTCGCGGCATCTCCATCTGGGGGTCTGAGGCAGGACCGGGGCAGCATCATTTCTGCTTGTTCGGTCCGAGCGCATCGAGGGGGGGGCGGGTGGGGGAGCCCGGCCCCTCCTGGTGGGAGAGCAGCCGTCTGCGCCCTGTGGGCTCTCCTGGCCGGGCCGGACTGTCTCCTGTCTGCTGGACGCCAGCTCCCCTCGCCCTCCAGGACCTCCTGTGACCGTGTGGCCCTGCAGACCTGCCACGTGTCCCTCCACCCCCCCGACTAAAGTGCAGAGAACACGTTGCCCCCGGTCACCAGACTCGGGCCAGCTCCCGTCTGGCAGGCGTGGCTGCTGTCCCCGTGTGGGGCCGGGAGCCGGGGCTGAGGTGCCCGTCCATCCCTGCGGCCGGGCCTGCTCAGGGAGACCTGGGAAAGGTTTTCTTATTCAAGGGTCTGTCCCCTCAGCCCCAGGGGGCTCCCCCACACCAAGAGGGCGTGTCCCTCCAGAGGGTGTAGGTCACACATTCTGACGGTGACACACTGGGGTCCCTCTGAGCTGTGAGCCCCAAGCCATGTGCACAACCATTTTAGCTCCCCAGTCCCCCTGGCCATGAGGGGCCAGAAGGATCTAGTGTCTCATGGGGAGCCCCGTGGTCTGGGCTCTTGAGCCGTCAAGTGTCCTGCACCTTTTTCTGGAAAATTCCGGGGCCCTGGGAGGTGGGATGGACACGAGTGGGACAGGGGCCACCCAGGAGGTTCAGCGGGCGCAATGTGGCACCAGGGAGGCGAGATTCCGGGGGTGGTGAGGGCCAGTGGGAGCTGGGGGGTCCTTGAGGGTCCCTGGCGAGACAGAGCCTGAGCGGGTGCTCTGGACTGGTGGTCGGACCCCCAAGGGGCCTGTCCCCCAGCACGTGACCCCGAGGTAACCTCTTTCCCTCTCTGCTTCCCTCAAGGTCACCGACGGTGAGGGCGCGGCTGGTCTCCTGGAGCTTCTGACTTTGGGGGTGCCCTCCGCATCACCTGTTCCGTCTGAGGGGCCCCGTGTGCCTTCTGGCCAGCTGCCTGCAGAAATGCGCCAGGCCCACGGTGGCCAGCCTGCCGGGGGGTCCCCAGAGGGGAGCAGGTGTGTGTGGGGAGGAGGACAGCCCCCAGGAGCACCGCGGCTCCTCCCCGCTGAACGTCTTTATCCCCCGACTCAGGCTTTAGCTCCTGTGGTTTGTGAAGTTCCAGGAGCCCACGACACCCTTCCTGCTGCTGCCTCGCCCGCTGGGGCACCTAGCAGGGGCGAGGCCTGCCACCCCGCGTCCAGGTCCTGGGCCAGGCCCCCTCAGGCCCGCGGGCTTCCAGAAACCAGCTTGCACGTGTGGGGCGCTTCCTCCCCAAGCCCTCGGCACGGGGTCTCTGTGCACTTGAGAACCCGGAACCTGCCCGGCCTCCCCCATGATCCTCCCAAAGCTGGGGGCCCGCGGGCACCCTGGCAGTGAGGGCCTGGGGAGGGGAGCCGCTCTGGGAATGCGGGAGACTTCCAAAGGAGAACAGCTTGGCCTGTGGTTTGTAGGAGCTGCTCCTGTCTCCTCTCTGTCACTTTAAAGACCAAAAAGAAAAAGAAAGAAACAGAAAACGAGTTCTGCTCCTTCTTTATTTAAGCACGAAAGAGAATGAAGGGAGGTCTGTGGCGAAGCCGCGCCGGGCGCAGCGTTTCCGTGTGGTCCTGTGTGTCGCGTGCGGGTGGCCCCTGGAGGGACGCCCACCGTGTGTGAAGGTGGCAGCTTTGAGAAGCAGGTGGCCCGTGCCACATTCCCTCCCCGCCTGCCCTGGGTGCGTGGCTCTCCGGGCCTCCCTGCGGCTCCCCCAGGTGGGGCAGATAGGATGGTTTTGTTCTCCCTCCCTGCTGCCTCCTGGTTGCCGGGCCGGCTCTCCGGAGCCAGCCGAGGGACATTCCAGAAGGGGCGGTGACGGCTCCGCCTGGTCCTGGTTTTACTGGAACATTTTGAGGGCCCCACCAGGACTCTCGGGGCCAGGCTGGGGCGTGTGTGTGTGTGTGGGGGGGGCACTTCAAGAGCCCCCCAGGACAGAAGAGCGTGAGACTCTCCTCCCCCCTGGTTCCTGTGGTTCTGGGCTTGACTCTGGGCGGCAGAGGGTGCGGGACGCAGCAGAGCCAGAACCTCACCAGAATAGACCCTCAGGAGGAGCTGTGCTGGCCCCCAGGGTCCACAGCTGGAAGACTCGCCAGTCCGCCAGGCCAGGGCGAGCTTTGGAGGAAGGAGGGGCCGTGCTCTCTTCCCCTCCCCTCCTGTCCTGCTCCGTGGGCCCTGCGCTCACAGCTGCCCTAAGGCCATCCCCCCCGGTCTGGTGACAGGGGCTGCCATGCCCACTCTGAGGGGAGAAGCGGCTTCCGTACGGTGCCGCCTGGATTTGGGGACAGCACCAAGGCAGAGAGAGGGCGTTCTTGGAAAGCTAGGCATGGCTCCTTGGAGAAGCACATCACAAATGGAGACGAGGACTCAGGGCCCCGGAGCCGGACAGCCACAGGCAGACCACTAAGCGCCCGGCCAGGGCTCCCAGCCCCATGCTCCCAGGTCACAGCAGCAGGAACAGCCCCCAGGCCCAGGCATGAGGATGGCCACCGGGGTGTGGGGGTTTGCATCCAGGCGTCCCATCCCGACCACCATCGCAGGAGACAGAGACCGGCCCTGCCCCAGAGCTGTCCCTGGGCTGTCCTGGGTCAGTGCCCTCCTCCCAGCTGGGATGCCTGGCCCCAAGATAGCTCTCAGACTGTGGCTCCCCGGTCCCTTAGCAGCCCTGTCTCCGGGTGGATGCCACCTAGTCCTGCTCAGGGCCCTCTCCTGCCATTGGCTTGGGGTCCCCTCACATGACCAGCAGCCCGCTGGCTCAGGGCCCCTCAGGCAGCCCTTGCTGAAGCCCCCAGGCCCATCCGGCAGGAGGGTCTGGATGAGAGCCAGCCTCTGCTCCCCCCTCCGCACCCCCACCCAGCTGGGGTGCACTGGCCCCTGGGCATGCAGGGACAGACAGCGCATCTAATTAAAAGGAAAGGTAGCTTTTTTTTTTTTTTTTTTAAGTCTTTGTGACTGTTTCTTTAAGCAGCAAATTAATCATGTTTTCTTGTCAGTTTGATTTCATGGTACCCACGGCAAGCCTGTCCGTGATAGTCCGTCATTCTTCCCAAGAACTGGGAGGCAGGGCCCGCCCCCAGCGCTGGCCCCGAACCTGGGTAGGTGGCTGGTCCCTGGGGACATCCGGGTGCCCTGGTGACTCAGGTGTACTGCTCCTTCCCTCCACCCGCCCCCACTGTGACCCTGACGGATGGGGCCAGCACAAGGGCAGCAGGAAGTAGTGGGCTTGGGGTGGGGGGTGGGGGTGGGGAGAGGTGCTGGGTGCTGGTTGGGAAAACGGAGGAGGAAGGCTCATGCCAGCTTGGAAGGGGCTGGGGAGGAGGTCCTCTCCACAGAGGGACCCCCCCCCCCCACCTCGAGCATGGCCCTGGCAGGAGGGGCCAGCTTGCTCAGTGTGATGAGGTCCTGGGTGTAAATGGGGTGTGGAGTATGTGAGGCCGGGCTGGAGGGACATCCGGGAGCCCAGAGGGAGCAGTCCTGGGCCCTTCCAGCTCTGGGCCCTGCCTCCCATGGACCCCCTGCAGGAGCTGCTCTGCTCTGAGAACAGGGCTGTCTGGGCATGCCCCCCATGGACAGAGCCTGTCCCTCTTGATTTCAAGGAGACTGAGGGCAGGGTACAGGGGGAATGTGGCCCCAGGAGCCAGCCAGGCCCAGCCTGGTGCGTCCTGGGCCTGGATTGCCCCCCCCCCCCCAGGGGAGGCTCGTTCAGGCTCCGGCCCCACAGGCCCCTTCCCACACCCAGCCTGGACTCGGGAGAAGGAGCCAGCCCACCCCCGACCCCACCCCAGTCACCAGGGTCCTTGCTTCCCCCAGGGCTGGTCGATGGTCATTGACCCCTGGCCAGCTGGCGTTGCTTTTGATGTCCGAGGCCTGGGGAGGACAGGAGGGTGACAGGTGGCGAACTTCCGGGTCTGTTTTCTGTCACGTGCCCCATCCCAGCCTATGCCCTGCTCCTCCAAGGGATGGGGTCTCAGTGCCCCCCACCAGGCTGCAGCATGAGGGCAGGGGCTGACAGAGGTGGGGACCGGCGGGGGCGGGGGAGGCTGGCAAGGGGCGGGGCTTACAGGGATGGGGCGGGGAGAGGGCGGGGAGAGGGCGGGCTGACGGGGATGAAGCCCAGGCAGGGGGCAGGGACGGGAGAAGGGAGGGTGAGGGGGTGGGAGGGGGGCGGGCGGGGGATTGACAGGGGGCGGGGCTGACAGGGGCGGGGCTGACAGGGATGGGGACGGGGCAGGGAGGCGGGCGGGGGGGCGGGGTTGGCGGGCGGGGGATGGGCAGGGGGGTCCGAGGACGCGGTGGAGGTGGGCCTAGGGGCTGGAGGGGCGTCCTCGGGGATGGAAGGGTCCCCGGATGGAGGAGGGAGAGCAGAGTTTCTGACCCGCTTCCACTTGGCCTCCTATTCGGGTCCCCTGCAACAGAACGCCCTCTGCATTCCCATAGCAACCTGGGGTGCCACCCCGTTGTTCAGTTGGGGGACCCAGACCTGGAGAGGGCACGGCTTGGCCAGGGTGTTACCGGAGGCGCTTGGAACTCGAGGTTTATGCCCATCCTGCCGCCTGCCAGGGGGGCCGACCCCTCTTCCGCCCTCAGACCCCACCGGTTCTGTGAACTGGCCGTTGGGGGCGCACCGGGGCCTGGGCCTGGAGAGGCCTGGGCTTCACGATGGGGACAGGGCGCTGTGCCACACACGTGGTGGGTGTGGGGCTGGGGCCCTAGGCCCCACAACTGCGCTTCTGCTCCCCAGGAAAGCACAGGAACCCACCACGTGCCTCCTGCTCTTGGGGGCAGTGAGGGTGGGGGCAGAGCAAACACAGGGTCCTCACTGGCGCTGAGGGGCTTTGCCACGCGGGTCGGGTCACCGCAGGCGCCCACATCTTCCAGCTGGTTTCTGATCCCGTCAGCCGGATTTAAGGGCCCCAAAGCCCTGGACACTCGGGGTCCTGCAGAGGTGGCTCCCCCACGCCCCACCCCACCATGCCTTCCCTTTGCTGCAAGAGTTCTTTTTCTCTAATTATGAAATAACCACTGTTGGTGGTAGAAAATCAGCAAAATTAAAGCAGAAAATAAGAACCTGCAGTCTCCCCCACCTTCCCTACCCGGTGGGCCTTCCCCACATTTGTCCCCAGGTGGTCCTTCTGGGCCCTGGGTCCGCTCAGGAACACAGTCCCGGGGCCTGCCTCCCTTCCTGCCCTACCTATAAGGGCAGCAGTCCTTCCTGATGCCAGAGTTGGCTTCCTTACCTTAGAGATCAGAGATCAGCTCGTAAGGCCCTTGGCCTCTGGCAGGGCAGCCAGCACCCTTGACCCTGTGCTTTTACAGACTGGCTGGACATCACTGACCACATGAGGGAGGCGGGGCTGTGGGGCTCCCCTCCATCCCCAGTGTGGCTGAGGGCAGAGGCCCAGGGCCCCAAATCTGGGAGCACAGCTTAAGGAACCCGAAGAAGGGTCTGGGATCAGTGTCCCCATTTGAAGACAAGGATTCGGAGGCTGAGGCCTCCTGGGGGGAGGCGGCCGTCAGTCGGCTTGGGCTGTTATGACAACGTACCATGGACCTGTGCTTCTCACGGACTGGAGGCTGGCAGTCCAAGGTCAAGGTGCCTCACGGTGTTTGGTAAGGGTCCCCTGTTGGTTCACAGACGGCCACCTTCTTCTGTGTGGTTGAGAGAGAGGAGAGAATGAGCCTGGTGTCTTTTCTTACACTCTTCTTACGCTGACCCTACCCGGGGGCCACCCTCACAGACTCCTCTAAATGTAACCGCCTCCCAGGCTCCTCTCCAAAAAAAAAAAAAAAAGCCAGCCCGCTGGGGGTTAAGCTTCAACATAGGGCTTTGGGGGGCCCAAACATCCAGTCCTTATCAGGGCAGGGGTGTCCACATGCAGAGTGCATCCTGGACCAGTGGGTGTGAGTTGGGCCTCGGGACAGCTAGGAAAGCTGGCAGGAGCAGAGGTGGGGAGGCAAACACGGGCCCACCCAAGGGGCACTGGGCGGGGCGAAGGTGGGGCCAGGAGGGAGGCCTGCAGAAAGGGGAAGGGGCCATAGATAGGTGTGGGCAGCACGGGGGGGGGGGTTCGGGGAACATGTGGGGAGAGCCCGAGCCCCTCACGGTGGGAGTGGCACTCCATGGGCTGCAGATCCCACGGGGAGGAGGCCCACGGCTGGGCTGCCTGGTCCTGCACCGGGTCTGTGTAGGAGGGGACTGTCCCTCCCCCACGAAGAGGAGGGCTGGGGGCACACAGCTGAGGCCTGCTTCGGAATGGTCACTGAGGCCCTGCCCAAAACACCGGCTCCCACCTGCTCCCTCCCACCACCCGTGGGTCCCGCTGGGGACAGTGCCCAGGATCGGCACCCACGGGGCAGCCGGAAGGGGAGATTTTAGGGCCGGCTGCTGTGATGCTGTCCCAGCCCTCAGGTCCCTAATCTGGATGCAGTGTGAAGCATGGAGCTCCTAATGGCTATCGGTCGCAGAGACAACGGTCTCGATGATTCG